GAAGGAAGGAAGGAAGGAAGGAAGGAAGGAAGGAAGGAAGGAAGGAAGGAAGGAAAGAAGGAAGGAAGGAAGGAAGGAAGGAATGGAGAAAGGGAATGGGGAGAAACTATCACAATAAGTGTGATACCCATTCTGTGGGTTTCCCTGTGTTCAGGTCTCCCTGCTACCAGATATGAAACAGGATTAGGACTCTTCTAGCAGGAAAATTACTTCTGGCTATAACCTTCTTTAATATAACACAGAGTAAAAATCCCAAAATTGATCTAACTACATTTCCTTCCTAGAGCTACATATACATGGATCACTTAATTGCAACATGGAGGTTTGACTTTGATGAAAAACCAATTTATTTACAAATGACTCTGAGTCGTAGTTATTAAAAAAATGTTAGACCAAACCTAAAACAGATTTAGAATAGCTCTGTGGAGAAGAGATAATAGAGATCTTGCCACTTATTTCATCCTGCTATGAGATAAGAAGAGGTTGTGGGTGGTGGCCAGGAAGGCTACAAAACTCCCACAACAAAGGCTTGAATAATGTAACCTTTTATAAAGGGTTTTCGATTATCTGGCAAATACTGGTTTTGTTCCTTTTCTGTTCTCAGACATTTTGCTGTTTCTAATCCTCTTTGCAGTATTATCATCAGAACGTCATCCAATCCTGATGTCATACAGATCCTCTGAATTTTGTTTTCTTGATACTGGAGACATTTTGCAGGTCTAGCTTTTTGATCCTACTTCTAGCATTTATAGGAACTTTTCTTTCCACAGGTCACCCTGTGGTTTAAATTGTGCAGTCTTTGGCCTGGGAAGGATGGCCTTTCAGTCATCATGGGCTGTAAGCTGGCTGGGGCACCCAGGTTTCTTGGAATTGACCTGAACAAAGACAAATTTGAGAAGGCCATATCTATGGGAGCCACCAAGTGCATCAAACCCCAGACTCGAGCCCCTTGGTGCGATGCTGTCAGAAATGACAGGTGACACCGTGGCCTACAGTTTTGAAGTCACTGGGCATCTTGAAAGGGTGATGAGAGCCAAGATAGAGGAGCCATACAACAACAACACCCAACTCTTTGATCACACAAGGTGAAACTCACTTTCTATAGCTTTGTTAACAACCAACTATGGAAATACCTGCTATGCCCAAACTAGTAACCATGAAGCAGTTTTATTCAAAAAGTCAAAAAAGCTTATGAGCGGGTCTCCTAACCATGAGTATCACATTGCAACACTCTCATGTGACCAGAGTGCAAGGTAGTCAAACATCAAGACAATTTTTTGTGTTATCTTTCTTGTATAATCTTGTGGATTTCTTGGCAAAGGTGATTCCGTCTCTTATACGTTAGCAAGCCGAATATCACAAAGTGACCCTCTGAGGACAGATAAGGAGATCCGCGGGGAAAGGGGACTATTCCAAATTTGGCAGTCTCTTCCCCAAAATCCATGATGTATCCAACCACACTCTTTACACCTGAGTTTTGTTTTCCCGTATGTGAATTCCCTTAGAATAGAAGCCTTCAACTTTCTAAAATGTGAGTCCATTGCAGCAACCAGCAGCACCAGATCCACATTTAGATTTGAGAAGCAGGTCCAGGGGTATATCGTTAGGGTCTGTTGATTTCTAGATGATACTTTGATGAACCTTGGTCTTTGAAAAATGCCCACATCCATTGCTACCATCCAGCAACTACTCAAAAAACTATTAATAGAAAACCACTTGGGCAAATGGCCACAAAATGTGGGGTTAGTCTCCAAGATGCTGCCAAAAAAAAAAGAAACTCCTTTGTCTCATGTTTTAGTATTTTATTTAATTTTCATACCTTTTAAAAAAAGATCAGGTCAATTGATATAGTATAGTTAATTCAATTTAGTTGAGTTCAAATGACTTTGCAGGGCTTATCTAAAGTGGTGATATTAGTCTGAAAATAGCACAGGAATTTTCTCTTGAGTTTTGGTCCATGGTACGCTGAAATACCGGGAACACCAATCACAATAATTCCTGCTTTCTGCCTTGAAGAGCAAATGTATGAAAAAGTTAAATTAAGACTAGAGTTCTATTGTGATTTTTTTTTTTAAGCAAGCAGAAAACAAAAGGCATGTGGACCTAATTCAGCATCATGATTTGGAAACTGAACTACCTGCTGGAACCACAATAATACGTAGGGCATTTTGGGGTCCATGAGATATTATGAAAAAGAAGGAACAAATAATCTCCTTCATTTTAAACTCAGATTGATGCCCTTGCATCCTGCTATGGAACCAGCATAGTGGAAGGTGCTCCTCCATGAGTCAACATGCTCACCCATGACCCTCTGCTGCTCCTCACTGGACACAACATGGATAGGATATTTTAGGGGTAAGGACAGGAGAGCCTCTGACCCAAGAGTGGTGTCTTTAACCTTGGAGCTTCAACAAGTAAGAGAAGCCTATTGTCTCATCACGTCTCCCTTACAGGACTTCCAAGGACAGGTATAAAACAAGACCATGACCACAATGATAAGAAAAAATAATTACCCACCCCTCACCCTGATTTAAGGCTTTTAGTTGACACATGTTTAATATTAGCATTTGCAACTCAAGTTCCTCAAAGGCCTGAATTAGAAGAACCAGCACTGTCTCTATTGGAATGATTTTATGGGACAAGAAGTTCTAATTGATTGTTCTCAATATATACAAGAACATGTATGAAAAATAGAAACTATCCAATTCACAACAGCATCAGAAAAAAATTCTGGACCCTAAGCCAAAATATACAAAAAGGACGTGTTACATTTTTAGAGGAACAATTGAGATTCCCACGGAAATGAGTGATGTAGACAATTGTCAATTCTCAGTCCTGGTCTTATGTGAACTATCAGCAGGATTTGATATAGCTGGTGGCTCCCTTTTTCTCAAACACTTGTTCACTTGGCTTCTAGATATTACCTTGTTGTTCTTCTTCTTGTTGCTCTTCTTCTCTTTTTTTATTCTCCTGTCTCCCTGGTCACTCCTTCCAGTAATCTATGCTGGACACTTCACATCCCTCAGACATCTTTTTCTCTAGTTCTTTAAGGTGTAGAGTTACATGGTGAATTCAGGATTTTTTTTTTTTTTTTTTTTTTTTTGAGTGAGGCTGGGATGGCTATGTGTTTCCCCCTTAGGACTGCCTTTTCAGTATCCCATAGGTTTTGGATGGATGTGTTTTCATTCTCATTGGTTTCCATGAATTGTTGAAGTTCTTCTTTGATTTCCTGGTTGACCCAAACATTCTTGAGCAGAGTGGTTTTTAGATTCCAAGTGTTTGAATTTCTTCCAAAATTTTTTTGTGATTGAGTTCCAGTTTTAAAGCATTATGGTCTGAGAATATGCAGGGAATAATCTGTCTTTTGGTATCGGTTGAGACCTGATTTGTGACCCAGTATGTGGTCTATTCTGGAGAAAGTTCCATGTGCACTCGAGAAGAATGAGTATTCTGTTGTTTTAGGGTGGAATGTTCTGTATATAGCTATGAGGTCCATCTGGTCCAGTGTGTCATTCAAAGCTCTTGTTTCTTTGTTGATTTTCTGCTTAGATGATCTGTCTATTGCTGGAGTATTGAGGTCACCTACAATTAATGTATTGTTATCAATATGACTCTTTATTTTGGTTAACAGTTGGCTTATGTAGATGGCTGCTCCCATGTTGGGGGCATAGATATTTACAGTTGTTAGGTCTTCTTGTTGGATAGACCCTTTAAGAATGATATAGTGTCCTTCTGTGTCTCTAACTACATCTTTAGTTTAAAATCTAATTTGTCTGATATAAGAATTGCTACCCCAGCTTTCTTTTGAGGTCTGTTGGCATGGAAGATGGATCTCCATCCCTTCACTTTCAGTCTGGATGTATCTTTAGGTTCAAAATGAGTCTCTTGTAGACAGCATATGGATGGGTCCTGTCTTTTTATCCAATATGCAACCCTGTGCCGTTTTATGGGAGCATTTAGGCTGTTCATGTTGAGAGTGATTATTGAAAGATATGAATTAATTGTCATCATGTTGCCTGGGAAGATGTTGTTTTTATAGATTGTCCCTGTAAATTTCTGTTGTATATCACTCTTGGGGTCTTTATCCTTTTATAGAACCCCCCTCAATATTTCTTGTAGGGCCGGCTTAGTGGTCACATATTTTTTCAGTTTCTGCTGGTCTGGGAAGCTCTGCATCTCTCCATCCATTCTAAATGACAGCCCTGCCAGATAAAGTATTCTTGGCTGCATGTTCTTCTCCTTTAGTACCCTGAATATGTCTTGCCAGGCCTTTCTGGCTTGCCAGGTCTCTGTGGATAGGTCTGATGTTATTCTAATGTTCCTCCCTCTGTATGTAAGGAATCTCTTCCCCCTAATTGCCCTTAGGATGGTTTCCTTGGTTCTAAGATTTGCGAGTTTTACTATTACATGCCGGGGTGTTGGCTTGTTTTCCTTGATCTTGGGAGGGGCCTCTCTGCCTCTAGGACACAAATGTTTGTTTCAGTCTCCAGATTAGGGAAGTTCTCAGCTAGGATTTGCTCAAATATATCTTCTAGTCCTCTCTCTCTCTCCACCCCCTCAGGGATTCCAATAATTCTGACATTGGAATGTTTCATGGTGTCACTTATTTCTCTGATTCTATTTTTATGGATTCTGAGTTGTTTTTCCCTGGTCTCCTCTTTTCCCTTTTTATCTATTAATTGGTCTTCTAGGTCACTAATTCGTTCTTCTTCCTCGCTTACCCTAGGTGTTAGATTATCTATATTAGATTGGATCTCATTGATAGCATTTTTAAGTTCTGCCGATTCAGCTTTCATTTCTGCCCTTAGAGAGTCTATGTTGCCATTAATCGATTTCTCCATTCTAGCTATTGTCTTCACAATTGCTAGGCCGAATTCCATCTCCGACATCTTGGTTATATCTGAATCTATTTGTAAATCTGTGGCATAAATCATAGTCTCTGAGTCTTTCCTGTTTTGGGGGTTCCTCCTCCTAATCATTCTGTTGAGGGGTGGTTGAGGGAATGTATAGAGTCCAAATTATTGACCACAACCCAGGCAAGATGCACCTGTTTTCTAGGGACCTTAGAGTTGCTGGCCTCTTGTTCTCCCAGCCTGTTTTCTGGGGGAGGGGCCTACCGCGCTGTTACTCAGGCAACCCTGTTTGGGCAGAGTTGCCCTGCCCCCTATGGTGGGGGATGGGCTCAGTGGAAACTGGTTTTGGGGGCTTTTGTTCTCTGGTGGCTTTCCCTGGCGGCTTTCCACGTCTCTTCTGAGAGTCAAAGCAGAAGAGACCATTTCCCACCCTCTGCCTCAGAGCAGAGAGATCAGTCTGTTTTTCAATGAGCTCTCCATGCCACACTATCTCCATTTCTGTCTGTGCTGCTATAAACTGCAGGGTCCTGGGTTGTGCGCCCCTCAGCAGGGCTCCCAGTCCTCGCCTCCAGGTCAGAGCTCGTGTCTGCCCTTTGTGCTTCTAAAACCACCAGCCACCCCCAGTTTGCACACGCAACCCTGCTACTCTGGGTTTCTATCTGGGGAGCTGCCCTAAAGTCCTTTCCCCACCGCTACCGGTCTGCGAGTCTGTGCCCCGTCCCCAGAGCAGGAGGCTATTGCTCACCGGTGGTGCAGGATCCCCACAGCCAGGCTTCCTCCCGCTGCCATTTATCCTCCAATACCTGCCCACAGAATCACAGCTCCCCACTTCATACCTTGAAACCAACCACCTGTGATATTCTGTTTGTAGAGATCCAGATCTATCTTCTTACATCTCAGGCTGATTTTGTGGGTGCTCAGAGTGGTCTGGTAGATACTCAGCTCAATTCTGGGTACCAGTTGGAATAGGGTCCCCTACTCCTCCACCATCTTTTCCCCCCTCAGACATCTAACTTTGGGGTATCCTAGGGCTCAGTCCTCAGAATTCCTCCTATTTACTTCCCTTTACTTCCAAGGTGATCTCCTTTGGTCTCATGGCTTTAAATACACTGTTTATAACAATTAAGGTTATATCTTCACCTAGACCTCCACCTGAGCTACAGACTCATATATCCAATTACCTACCTGACACCCCCACTTGGATACTTGATAGACGTGCAAACTTCACTTGTCCTAGACCACGCCTGATTCTACCACCTCTACCCCAGGCCTCAACTTACTCCTCCCAATCTTCCTACCTCAATAAGTGATAGTTCCATCATTCCTGCTGGTCAGGCCCCAAAGCTTGGAGTATGCTCTTTCTCTCAAATAATGAATATTTTGGCAAGTCCTATTTGCTCTATCTTCAAAGGATAGCCAGGGTCTGATCATTTCTCACCAGCACCATCACTTGTCCAAGCCACTATCATCTCCTCCCTGCATTACAGTAACTTCTTAAATGGCCTCCCTGCTTTTGCCTTTTGCCTGCATATAGCATATTCCTCTGAGCAGCCAGAGTGAGACTGTTAAAAATGGAAGTCAGATCAGGTCATGCCTCTCTCAAAACCCTCTAATGGCTTCCTTTTTCACTCAGAATAAAATTCCAAAATACGCAATGCCCAAAAGGCCCCACAGGATCTGGCCCTCTGACCCCAGGCGCTACTATTCTTCTGGCCTCACACTGCTCTAGCCACACTAGACTCTTCACTGTTTTCATGGGCCAACACTCTATCTCATTAGCCTTTGCATTTACTCTGCCCTCTCCCTGAAATATTCTTTCCCAAGATTTCTGGCTAGCTCATTTCCTTTACATTTTGCTCAAATGTCACTTTATCAGGCAGCCCTTCCCTGAGCTTTATAAAGTAGCATTCCTTCCCTCCCTCCCCACCCTCATTCCCCTGCACTCCCTACTGCTTTTACTCTGTTTTTCTCCTTTGTGCTTGTCACGGATTACTTGTTTATTGTCAGTTCTCTGCACTAAAACGGGAGGATTCTCATGCTTCCTGAAAGCAGGGACTTGGTATATTTCACCTCTGCTATACTCCCAGCCCTGAAATGGTGCCTGATACTCAGTCCATACTCAATAGATATTTACAGAATAACTGAAGTTTACTTCTAATATTCCTGAGTAATTCATAACCTTCCCACGTCACACACACAAAGTGAGGAAGCTCAACTTCTACCTCTTATTATTTGTTCCTTAGTTCAAGTCTTATTTCCTCTAAGAAGTCTCCTCTTAAGAACGTCATCCATACCACCAGCCCCTCATTCTTGTTACCCAATTTCTGTTGAAAGAAAACCTGCTTTGGCCTCACATCGACCACAAGGTCATGGATGGCCCTGACAAAACCTGTAAGCAGAGTGTGACTGGGCTCCCAGGAGAACGGGAAGAAAGGAAGTGGAACCGAAACAATGAACTAGAGACGATTCTTTCTGTAAAGGCAGTTTTATGTAAAAGCAA